GCCTCTTCCTTCTTCCTAGTCTGTCTCAGTCTATAAGCTGGCTGTTACCTGTGCACCAGGTGCATCTCGCTGGGTTTTAAACACCAGAGGCTCAGTCTCAAAACTCACGTCTACATGTCACCACAGTAGGACAAACCGACAGACAAGTTTCTCTTGCTGTTGGAGACCTCTCGTATCACCCCCACCAGGTCCCTGTGGCTGACTGTACCTCTGTCTGGCTTCCTGGCTTTTAATCCCCTTTCTCTTGCTCTTCTGGCCTGCTGCTTTGGGCATCCCTGAGTTGTTCCTGGGGCTGACTGCTCCTCTGTCCGTGTTCCTGGCTTTTATCCCCTTTCTCCTGCTCTCTGGTTCTGCTGCTTTGGGCGGGCCTGAGTTTCCTCTCTTCATCTAATCCCTTCGGCTGATTGCTCTTCTCTCTGACTTCCTGGCTTTTAATCCCCTTTCTCCTGCTCTTCCCACCTGCTACTTTGGGCGTCCCTGAGTTGTTTCTCCTCATCTGTAACTCTGGGGCTGAATAAATTATTTTAGAATAAAGCTTAGCAATTTTGTTCAACCTAAAAGCAGTTTTGAAAAATAAAGGCAAAATAAAATAAAATAACCCATTTCCCCCAAACCTGAGGTATTTGGCTGCTAACCAGAAGGCTGGTGGTTCAAACCCACCAGCAACTCCTTGGAAGGAAGGTTGGGCAATCTACTCCTGTAGTGTTACTGCCTCAGAAACCCAAGGAGGGGTCGCTATGAGTCAGATCTGACTCGACGGCAGTGGTTTTTGGACTTCTCCCAAAAGAAATATTTTAAAATCAACTTGCTGTTACTCAAATTTGGAACAAGGGAAGAAAAGAATCATCTAGGAAAAAAGTCATACTTATGATATTCAAGCTGTCTCCTTCCTTTCACAACTGCTTCCTTCTCCATGTCCCACTTAGTATAACCTGATCCCTGGACTTGGGGTGTTGGACAATGGGATTCTGTAAACTCCAGGCAGGTTTGCTCAAATTTCATCATATCATGACTTCACTCTAACCCTTCAGACCTTTTAGGAGTAAAAACTACACAGGAGTGAATTTCTGCCCCTATAAATAGCAGAAAACTAATAGTTGATGCCTTGAATAAAACCAATAAAAATCAATTAAGAAGAACACTTAAATACTTCCCTTCTGTGTTTCTACCTCCACAAAATAAGAGTCTTGAACTAGATGACTTCTAAATTCCTTTATAGGTCTGCTTTGCCATGATGTTACAAGTATACCTTCTCCTCACTTATTGATTATGTTGTTACCCAACATTTTGTATTTATGACAATAGTAAAAAAAAAAAAAACAAACACTATTATCCGATTATTTTGTGTGTTAAAGATGTATGGTAATGTTGGCTGTGATGGTTCTGTCTCAACTTGGCTGGGCCATAATTCTTGGTGGTTTGTCAGTTATGTAATGATGAAACGTAGTCATCCTCCATTTTTCCATAACACTAATTTTTGCATAACAATCTGGTCTTCGCAACCTACCCATGTCAATAAGTGAGGCGCAGGTATATGTTAAATCACACTTTGATAATTTTCAATAGACAGCGCAGTATTAACCAGTGTCAACAAGTCACTTTTTATGTTAGGCATTTGTTACATACTTGATCTTGGGGATCAATCATCAAAGGCCACCGTCGTCCTTGAGTTACTAAAATACCATTTTCTGTTGATACTGTGTCACGAGGCAGCCCATCAGTGTTCCACTGCCGTATTTCATAGGGATCTCCAAGGATGTTAATGAGACTGAAGGAAGTATCAATTGGGATGTTCAGAGACAGACAATCATTGATCCAACACTCTATAAGCTGTAGAAAAAGGAAAGGTTACTTTCAGAATTAGGAGTACTCAGTAAATGAGGGCATACACAAAGTGTGGTGGTCAGAGATAAGGCAATGGCTGAAACAGCTAAGCGCTACACAGTCTTCACAGGTGTTCTGGCATCAGAACATGGGACAGTCACTGTTGTGGCACAAAAACCCATTGCCATTGAGTCAATTCTGACTCCTGGTGACCCCATCTGTTGTAGAGTAGAACTGCACTCCATAGGACTTTCTTGGCTATGATCTTTATGGAAGCAGATTGCTGGGTCCCTCTTCTTTTCTTCTGGGTGGGTTCAAATTGCCCACCTTTAGGTTAGAAGTAAAAGGAAACTATTTATGCCACCTAGGGATGTTGTGGAAAAAGAGACGGGCTAGAAATCAGACCTGAGCCTTAGAGCTGTATCATTAACTAGCTGTGGCTGGGCATGTGTGCCACTCTCCCTATCTGAACCTCATTTTTCTCATGTATAAATGACAAGAGTTGTCACAGTGGTTTTCAACCAAGAGGGTACTGCCCCTCTTGGGAGATCCTGGATGCATGTGGAAAAGTTTTGGGTTATCATAATGCCTAGGGGCCACTGGGAGAGAGGGATACAAAAACTCCTTCAATGAGTGGTACAGTCCTGCACAACAGAGAACTCTGCCCTGCAAGGCACCATTGGCCACAGGGAGAAACAGCACCAGATGGCCCCTGAGATGAATTCTGTTCCATATTAGTTTTTATAACTCAAGGACAAGGCTGAAACATTTTTAGAAAGGAGTTTCATAGAAATGGCTTTAAAATCCATCCATATAACTTAATTTGCTCAAGAATGCACTCAGATGAAACTTTTATTTTCTGATAAATGACAATTTTTTTTAATTTAAAAGATAAAAAAATAAATGAACCACAGATTTGTCTTATGTCTAGCCCACTTTCATGCCTAGCCCTTGGCAGCGGTCTCACCAATTTCGAACATTTCATCCTGTCAGCTTTAGGTGCCACTGCTGATTAGAAGAGTTGGGGATTTACTGTTCCTTTTATTCCCCCCGGGTTCTTATGCTGTGTATGTATGATATGAGCATCTGCTTAAGGCAGCAGAAGGAAAGAGAGGGCAGTGGTAAGGAAAGCCTAGGAGTAGATTATCACCAGCTGATAGGGAGATGTGGAGGGCTGTGCAATATGTAACTACATTTCCATCATGGAGATCCTCCACAGTGGAGAGGCTCCATCTGAACTCAGGGAAATGAAAATGCTCCACATCCCTTCTGCTTTCCCCTACTCCTTAGAGAAAGCAGATTTGCTCACCAGTTGCCTATATTGGGCCGTGAATGCCCCATAATAGGCCACACAAGCCGCGGCTATGAATACATTCCCAACGATATTGGATAACTCTTCCTCAAATTTCTGGATGCTTTCTTCCCATCGAACTTGCTCATCTCCTAGTGCCGCTGTAAGCTTTCCAGCACGTAGGAGGCGTGCTTTTGTCAGGGACATGTTCTTCGCTAGAAAATTTTAAGAAAATCAGATTGTATTATTCAATACTTTCTAAAAGTGTTAAACATTTGTTGTTGCAAGCACAGTGGAATGAAACACTGCTGGGTCTTACTCTGTCCCACGTTAGTTATAGATCTGACTGTTGTGATCCCTAGGGTTCTCATTGGTCAGTTTTCAGAAGTCAATGGCCAGGCCTTTCTTCCTAGCTGTGACTGTGCATGAGGTACACTGGCCAGGAATCAAACTGGGTACGTAAAAGGTGAGTCACCATATCTCACCTTAAAAATCTACTCACCTGCTTATGTTTACAGAATTATATTTAGCTAATGATGTCAGTGCATCTGTTTGAAATTTCACACTAATTCAGCAGTATTTTCCATTTTGAAATTAATTCAAAGTCTGCCTCTTCCATGTAAAGAGCTCTTTTTTGAAACTCCTTTACTCTGAATGAAGACAGTGTCTTCCCTCTCTGTGCCTCTGGAGTATTTATTTTCTGCATCAAGTTCATATGCTGCTTTTTGTTATACCACAGCCTGCCTCATAAAGCCTTGTTCAGTTATAGGGTGTTGAGTATATACAATACATACAGTTTTTCTAATTTCATACTAGAAGGTTAATGGAATAAGACTGATGAAAATACAGCCTACATGTTGAATGAAAGCTAAGACTGACTGCTTGAAATCTCTTTCTACTTCTGAAATCAGACATTTCCTGACCATTGTAAATTCTCTGTGCTACTTACCCAGACTTTCCTTTTCATTCACACTTTTGTCATATTCATCTTGTAAGTCCTGTATTTGATCTTCCACTTGTTTTAGTAATGCTTGTTTTTCTTTCAGGGTAGCCATAGTAATATCAAGTTCAGCCTAATAAAATCAAGTAAATATTTAAGAGGCCCCCAGAGAAGGCTGAACTTGAACATTTATTATATATATATATAATTATGTATATATAGGGTGCTCTGGTAGTGTAGTGCCTAAGGCACTTGACTGCTAACCAGAAGGCTGGCAGTTCAAACCCACCAGCCACTCCTCAGAAGGAAGGTTGGACAATC